AATGAGCAAGCTGCTAGCTCAGATGGTAAATAAAATCCCTTCCCAGCGTGTGGGGTTTGGCTGAAGGTTTCGAGTTCTGTCTGCAGAAGCAGCGGGAATGTACAGTCAAGGGTCAGGCCCTCAGGAAATGCCCCATTCCTGGTGGGTTAGTGTGGGGATGAGCCAAAATGACAATGGGGATTTTGGTCATTTTGCAATATCATGCAATTCTTCCCCAAGTAAACAGCGATCACATAATAAACTGAGTACAATTAGACAATTACGGGTATTTCAACCAAAATACGATCAACTGCCAACACCAGATTGAACAATTACCAGGCCCTGCCCCACCCCTTCCAGCTCACTCCCTTCTTTCCGCCAGCGTATTTAAAGCAAATCCCAGATCTTTTGTGAGTGTTTTCTAACATAGCTACAATATCCTTATCACCTCTAAAGTTCAAGTCTCATAGACGCTGTTTTCTCATTGCTTTCCCAGAATCAGGATTCAAACAAGGGCTGCCCGGCACGTGGTTAAGTCTGTAAAGTCTCTTGGTTCATGTGACGGCTCCCTTCCGTTGACTTTTCATGCTCCAGCCTTGCTAGTTCCAGGATCAGCGGCCTCCGGGAGCCCCACTTTCTGGATTTGTCTGTTTGCTGCCTCACGTGTCACCACATCTGAATTCCCTCCCCCTGGAAGGACAAGTGGCTGTCACTGGGCAAGCTTGCAGGGGAGGTCAGGTTTCAAATAAATTCAGCCTGGGGTGTGGGACCAATGGAACCAGCTTCCAGCAATTGCTTTAGAAGGTGAATGTGTGTGTGAGTGTTTTAAGAACATTTCCTGGATTACTGTTCAACTAACAAAGTAGGTGTTTGCTCCCAAATATCACCACCTCATTTGCTATCAGCTCTGTTCTGTGAACTCACATGAATTAACTGCCTGCCTTTCCCAGGTGAGACATGGATTACGATATTTGCCCAGAAAATAATGAACAAATGAATGAAACAGAGGCTAGTCTTAGATGAAACCTCATGTCCTGAACCCCCGAAGGGCCTCTGGATCTTTGGCTGTTCGTATTTCCCTTGTGGTTAAATCCCCAATGGCCCTGCAAAAAGCCTTATTTTCTATCTCAGTGGCCTTCCTCACCACCTGCTCCCTGAGATGCTTTCAGGATGAAGGAACTCACCGAGGGCTGAGTAGCAAAGCCCTTTCCCCTTCGCAGGGAGCGGAGGCCTGTGCACTCACTTCCTGCCTCACCTGTTTATCAGATCAAGTTAAGGCAGCTTTATCTTCGGACGGAAGCTGTTTCCTAGGATGGCCACAAATTACCACAAAGTCTGTACCTTAAAACACCATATATTTATTCTCATTGTTTTGGAGGATGAAAGTCTGAAATCCACAGGGCCACGTTCTCTATGGAGAATCTATTCCTGTTTTTCTGCAGCCTCTGGTGGCTGCCTGGGGAAATTCCTGGGCTTGGGGCCACATCACCCCCATCTCTGCCTCCCTCCTCACCTGGCCACCTCCTCCGAGTGTCCTCATTAGCTCTCTTTGCCTCTGTGTTACAGGAGCATTTGTGGTGGCATTTAGGGCTCACCCAGATAATCTAGTGAGTCATCTCACATCAAAATCCTTGATTACATCTGCGAAGACTCTGTCTTCTGCAAACACGTCACCATAGTGAAGTGAACTATCATGAAGACTGGAAAACACAAGCATGAGAAACAGTTTTGTTACCTGAGAAATGAGTATAAAATGGGACAAAACTCCATCCATGTCCAGACCACATCGGGCTCCTTGCTGAGCGCCTGGCCACCAGTTCACTGTCGGGAGACACTGCTTCTCATATTCACGTGCCCACGAACCACCTGGGAATCCTGTTAAAAATTTCGACTCGGTAGGACATGGATGGGACCTGAAAGTCTGCATTTTTAGCTTCCAGGCGAGGAAGATGCTGCTGGTCCACAGGCCACACTTGGATTTTGATGTTGAACCTTCATGACGATCTTTGAACTGAGGGAAACCAGCTCAGAGAAGGTAAGTGACCTCTCAGGTGAATAAATGGTCAGCTAAGTGACATCCTTGTCTAAGTGTCCTCACCAGGGTCACAAGGCAGGTATGTGATGGAGCCAGGATTTGAATACCCATATCCTCGATTCCAAATCTCCCAGTCTTAACAATGCCATCCTGTAACTATACGGATGATCTTTCTATAATTTTTCCTTAAAATCAGTTTGGAATCATGGTCTTATTAATTAATTAAAAATTGGTTATAAGATGATTTCCCTTCCTCCGAGGACTCAACTATGAAAATTGCTCCTGTCTTAAGCTGTTCTGATTGGATTCAGAGGTAAGGGAATGTCCAAGTGGCTTTGGAAGGAGGGTCAATGCTGAACATCTATCACGTAAGTTCTTACTGTCAACAGCTCAGCAGAAACCAAAAGGCATTTACAATGGCCTAAATTGCAGTTGTCTTCCCATAAAAATTCAACACAGAGTCTATATGTAGGAGCCATGCAGACTTGAAAGGATTGCTGTTATCTTGATGAGCATTTTCAACCTGGTGAGACCTTGGGAGAGAGAGCTCTCACCTGGATAAGGTACAGACCTCAGCAAAGCTGCAACCTCTCCCTGGCTCCTGGCTTCTTTGCCCCCAGGTGCTGCATGCTGACCACAGCAGACAGGACCCAGATCTGGAGTCGGCCCCTCATGGTCACCAAGAGAGATGCGTCCACGTGTCCTGGTCTTAGGAGAAGTTATGAGAGAGGCGATTGCCAAAATAAACAGAGAACAGCAGCGGAAATAAGCTCTGGACTGACATTCTCTTATGGAAACCCTCAGGGACTGAGGGTCCTCAGATATGTGTCTGGAGCTGTAGCAGAGGAGGATCTGGAACCAGCAGTTCCCTCTGCCTGCAACACCCTGTCCTCCCAAAGGCCATGCAGCTCCCTGCCCTCCTTCCTGTTTCAGCTCAAAAGTCAGCTGATGAGCCCAGCCTTCCCTGACCACCTGGTCAACCCGGAACCCAGCCGTGTGCCCCCCGTCTCCTGTTGTTCTGCATCATCTCCATGGCATCAACCAGCCTTATGTTCCCCCTGTGTTCTGTCCTTGTCCCTATTCTGACCACAGTGTCAGCTCCTCGGGGACCGGGGACACCTGCTCTGCTCAGGGCTGCATCCCCAGTGCCCGGAGTAGATTCTGGGCACATACTTGCCGTGTGTTTGGGTGAATGAATGAATGAGATTATGCATTCTCAGTGGGTCCATACTGCCCTCCGGGGGCAAACTTGGTTCATGGGCTTGAAAAGATGTTACTCTCTTTATATAAAAACACAGATGTACCTACAGATTCATAAACTATCGTCTGGTATTTCTGTGATATTAAACTTTCATGAGGGGCAATTAAGGAAAAAAAAAATGTCTGAAATGGCTCCTCAGGGGGTGATCATGAAATAGTTTGAGAAACACTCAATTAGAGGAAAATCAGTGGAAACTGCAGCCTTTTCCTCCCACATTTTGCCAAGACCCTGATAGGAACGTGGAAGACAAACCCAGATGTGTCCAAGTATGTGAAACAGTCCCTGGCACTTTCCTGGTGGAAAAAGAATAGAAGGGGGCCTCAGAACTTTGGGGAAGCAGCTTTTTTTCCTGCCGAGGGACAGATTTACAAAGGATGATATTTGCATTTTCCCGAAGCCTCTAACTTTCTCATTTCTCATTTGTCAGAGCCCGAGGCCCTTCCACAGCACGTGGGATGTTCGCGCACATCTAATGATCCCTTTTACCAAACAACGTCACAGCCCCTGGGAGAACAGCGGTCGGGTAGCTGAGGCTGCTGATTGCATCCCCTGAGGTCACGCTGTGCCGTCCTCGCAGGCGTTCTCGGGGCGCCTCCCTTCTCTGAGCTCCGTGGTTCCTGGTGAAGGTGTGCCCCGAGCCCGGGCTCCTGTGACGCAAAGGAACCACGGAAACCGGCCCGCAGCCTGTCCCCGAGATGGCGGACGGGAGCAGGGCGGACGTGCCCGGGGCTCCAGGAGCGAGGCCCGGGCTCCTGTGACGCAAGGGAACCACAGAAACCGGCCCGCAGCCTGTCCCCGAGACAGGGAGCAGGGCGGACGGGAGCAGGGCGGACGGGAGCAGGGCGGACGGGGGCAGGGCGGACGGGAGCAGGGCGGCCGCGCCCGGGCTCCTGTGACGCAAGGGAACCACGGAAACCGGCCCGCAGCCTGTCCCCGAGACAGGGAGCAGGGCGGACGGGGGCAGGGCGGACGGGGGCAGGGCGGACGGGGGCAGGGCGGCCGCGCCCGGGGCTCCAGGAGCGAGGCCCGGGCTCCTGTGACGCAAGGGAACCACGGAAACCGGCCCGCAGCCTGTCCCCGAGACGGCGGACGGGGGCAGGGCGGACGGGGGCAGGGCGGACGGGAGCGGGCGGCCGCGCCCGGGGCGCCAGGAGCGAGGCCCGGGCTCCTGTGACGCAAGGGAACCACGGAAACCGGCCCGCAGCCTGTCCCCGAGACGGCGGACGGGGGCAGGGCGGACGGGAGCAGGCGGACGGGAGCAGGGCGGACGCGCCCGGGGCGCCAGGAGCGAGGCCCGGGTTCCTGTGACGCAAGGGAACCACGGAAACCGGCCCGCAGCCTGTCCCCGAGACGGCGGACGGGGGCAGGGCGGACGGGGGCAGGGCGGACGGGGGCAGGGCGGACGGGGGCAGGGCGGACGCGCCCGGGGCGCCAGGAGCGAGGCCCGGGTTCCTGGAAGTCCGCTCTCCACCTGCTGGGCTCACCCGACGGGGACCTCGATGGGGGCTCTCACCAGGGGCGGGAAGGCCGGGCGGGCTGTGCCTCTGCCCCCAGCAGAGCTCTCTGGGCCCCAGGGGGCTTCCCCAGGGCCCCTGAGGACCCGCGTCCCTTCCCTCGCCGTCAGCTCACCCCATGTTGCTGCCGGAACACCAGCCTCTTTAGAGAAATCCAGTCCGGCCCCCGGGGCAGTGTTCCCGGGTTCCAGCTGCCCCCGCTGCACAGGCGATGGACACGAGTGTGGGGCCGCCCAGGTCACGCGAAGCCCGATGCAACACACACCTCTGCGCCTGTGGACTCGAGGACGCACCTGAAGGGATTTCAGAGCTCCAGCCGGAGCGCGGGTGGAGACCTCTGTCCCCGGGGAGCCTCCCTGTGCCCCCCAGAGAGGGTCGGACACGGTCAGTAAAGGCCCCGCGCCCCCTGAGGCTGGGGGAGGGACTGTCGGGAGTAAAAAGGACCGGCTCACCCTCCCCGCTGTTCTGAGATGCCCACCGTGCCCCACTGCGGAGCCTCTGGGCCACTTCTGGGCCCTCTCGGGTTCCCTGGGGCCCGGGCTTCCCGGGGATGCTGGAGCACACCCGCCACCCCAGACGCAGTGGAGCGCGCAGTGACCTCTGATCCAAAGCAGGAGGTGGGCATTTGTGAAACCAAAGGCCAGGGTGCCTGAGTCAGGCGCTAGGGGACAATGACGCTTTTGTGCGGACGCAGTGAATGGAGGACCGGCGGGGTGGGGGCGTGCAGGACAAGGCGTCCCTGCAGCGTCTGCGGCAAGGGCCAGGGAGCCGTCCAAGAGGGGCCCCGGGAGGCTGGGCCGCAGCGCAGCAGAGCGGGCGCTGAAACGGCGCCTTCCCAGAGCGGTGGACGGTCAGCGATGCTGGTCCTGGAGCCGGGCCAGCCTGGCGTCGGGGATTCGTGCTGCACCCCCCGCACCCCCGAAGGTGTCAGGAGCTGAGACGGTGCCCGTGGGGGCCTCGGTGTTTCCTGGGCTGTAGGTTCACTCGTGCTGTCCTGAGAGGGCGTCTGTGCCCTGACCCCTCACCCGGTGACCCTGAGGCTCCCAGGACCCTCACGCCACCTTTCCCAGGTGGACGTGGATTCCAGGGAGAGGCCGTCCATGGAGCCGCCGAGCAGAAGTCGGGGGCTGACGGGCACAGTGTTTCCCAAGTTTGGGTCCCTCGGGGGCCAATGCATGGCCATTGCCTTGTAACGCCCTTGCTGTTGTCTTATTTAATATTTACCTTTAGGTCAGATGAATTCCCAGCTTTCTTAAATAAATCCGTTCATTCTGGTGCCACTCACTTTAACCGCATCCCCCATCTTAATGGAGTCACCAGGGTTTGAAGGACAAACTGGAATTTCCCCCTAAATCCTGTTAGAGTGAGTAAGTATTAGAGTAAAAGCCCACTCCCTCACCTGCTGGTGTTAGCAGCTCCCCGTCTGGTGCTGAGCCTCCCGGCGGCTTCAGCGAGGCGGAAGTCTGTTTCCCACGGGTCACGGCCTCGGCGTGGAGGCCCAGAGCTGGGCGGGCAGCTGCACGGGGTTGACCTTGACCTTCTTCTGTCCCCCTGCTTCCTCACCTTTGGACGCTCTTGTCGTCCACCTGATCTAAGGGGGCGCAGGTCCCATCAGGAGGGGAGGGGAGAGGGGCGGAGAGCACCCATCGCCTGAGGGTGCCCTGGAAGGTACACTGCGAGCTGCGACGGGAGGTTCAGCTCCAGCCGGGGTGGCCGTGTGCTCAGCTGAACACGGGCATTTCTAAAACTCCAGGAAGGAGGTGATGGATACGGGGGACAGCCAGCAGCCTCAGCCCCTGCTGTGGGCCCCTGAGATCATCTCCCCTCCTCCAGGACGTGCACCCTGCAGGGAACGAGCCTTTGAGGAGGGCCTCCTCCTGACGCTGCTCTGGGCGTGGGGGTGAGCAGCCCCACTCAGCCTGGGGAGTGGAGGCTGCCTGAGGTTCCTCCAGCACCGAGGCAAACCCAACGCGTTTCCTGACGCCTGCCCTGCGCCTCGTGCCCATGGCGTCCACGTTACCTGACCCAGGGGCCAGGTGAGGCGCACTCGGCGTCCTGGGCTCTTCACAGCAAGCTGCAGACACAGGGCTGAGCGAGGGGGCCGTATGATTTGGCCCCGCCTGAGTTTCAGAGACAGGTGGCCAGGAGTCAGAAAGCTGGGAGGGGACATGTGTGAGGAGACACAGCTGTAAACGATGGAGCCAAAAGCCACGTGGGCCCCCAGACTCTCTTCAGAGACCCCACTGTGTCCTCACTGGTCCTGTTCCCCTGTGTGTGGGTCTCTCTTTTAAATAAATAGATGCATGACCACGAAATAAAACACTGCTGAATCTGTTCCCTGCCCATCTCTTTCCAGAGACCTCTATTCTATTCCTTCAGCTGTGTTGGCAAGTTTCTTCCAGATTTTTTTAAGAGTGAGTTAGTCGCGGAGCTTTCAAGCTGTGTTGGTCTCTTCCAAATGTCTGCACCCCTGATGAGGGGTCAGCTCCCCTCCCCCACCTTACCTCCCACGGTCCTCTAAGGGCAAATCACGATGATTGCGTCATAGTCATCATGGATGGCATGTGACCAGGTGGATAATATTCACTGCAGAGCCCATTTTTCTGATGTGGTTACATTTTCTTTCTTATGCATCTTTTGTTTTCCCACAGTTAATCACTTCCTTGCTTTTACTTGCAAAATTTGTTGTCTCCAAATCTTCCACCATTTCATCCAGTCCAGTGTTTTCCATGTTGTTTTGGCCATAACTCATCATAAGAAATATATTTTACAACAAGACCTGGCATACACACACACATACATACATGCGCACACACCCATACACAATACATGGAGCTAAAATTTTACAAAACAATATCGACTTTCATTACAGGCAGTACCCTTTGATAGTTTCCACTCAGTTCTGTTGTTTCACATTTTTGGACGCTAGTTGAGACTCACAGAATAGATTCAGTCCCCGCTAAGGTGGCTTGACCTGTCCTTTGGAAAGCTCTGCACTAGCCCAGCTCAGACCTGCTCCTCCAGGCTCTCCACCTCCCAAGCCTACTCCGCACCCACCTTCAGCTCCTCTCAGTGGGGTGACTCTCCTGTAACTGGGCAGCTCTCATCAGGAGACTTTTCTCGGCTCCTCTTCCAAGATGATTAACTGTTCGATGAACCTCATGTCTTCTTTCTCATTGGTTCTTTGCTTTCCGTGAGTTACTTCCAATTTATTTCTTTTTAACTGAAGAAGAAAAAATTTTAGCGACTCTCTAGCCTACTTGATTTTTTTTCACCTTCTCTCCAGTAATAGAATAATTAAAGTGGGAAGGAGAAAATTATAATAGGAAGAAGCCAGAGAGCAAATAGGAGAATTGATTTATGCATGGTTTTGGTTCTGTGCGAAGCCGGCGATACCCAGAATAAAAAGCCAGGCCTCCAGCCATGTATCATTTCTGGCGACATCCAGACGATGGAATGAAATGTTGACTGTGGCCGTAAATCAAAGTGTCTCACCCTCGGCAAGCTTGACATTCTGGCAGGACTGGTCTTTGTTGTGGGGACTCTCCTGAGCATTATGGGATGTTTAGCAGCACCCCTGACCTCTACCCACAAGAGACAAGTAGCCTCTCTCCCTCCCTTAGCTGTGCCAACCAAGTGTTTCCAGAAATCACCAAACTTGCCCTGGGGACAAATTTACCCCAGGCTGGAATCTTTGCTCCGACTGGACCCTGCCTGTGCGCACAATTCTGGGGAGCATCATCGCCTACTGACGATGCATCAGGTGGAGCCTGAATTGGTCCATCGCATCCTCCAGAAGCCGTAGCAGGTGTCATGAGCAGACACCTGTCACTTACTGCCTTGGTGGAGGACGCCACGGGGACACGTGCAAACCGGCTGGTTAGAGCCTGTTCCAGGCCAGCTCTCCTCTGACTCATGCTCCTGAGGACTGATCTCTGCCTCCTCTGAGTTATTAAAAAGTTATTAAAAACCAAAATCATTGATGCCCCAGAACTGATTACCTCTTCTTAATAGACTCACTAGCAAATTGTATAAACATAATCTGGGGCTTACGAAGCTGTTATTAAAATGGACCATTTGCCATCACTTGGGGACACTTTGCTGTACTGTTTCAGCATGAATACCAGAGATGAGGTCCGTGGGAAAGGTGACCAGAGATGCCGCTGAGATGGTTAACGGGCCAACATGTGTTTCTCACTGAGTCGAAACCAAAGTCACAGTATGGGTCTCAAGTCGACCTAGAAATTCCCTCCTAAGGAGGCGGGAGCGCCTTACAGCCGTGCTGACCACCACCGGGTTCAGAGCAGGCCCGTCCCCATGACAAGCCGATGTGGGGAGGGCAGCCGGGCAGCCGCCTCTTTTCAAGCTGGGGCCGCGAATTTGCGCGGGAACTCCAGCCAGAGGGGCCAGTCATCCGCTCTAACAACTGTATTTCAGTATCACAGGCCGGCAGGAGGGCTGATCCAGAGCAGACGAGCGGGAGTGGCAGAAAAATATCAGGACGCAGGGGAGCAGGGGACAGGGGTGTTTGTTTTCTCCTCCTGAGAGCAGCCTCTCAGCCAGACCCAAACAGCGATTCCACATTTCCTGTCAGCCTGGGGCTGGGTCCCTGGGCTGGGAAGAACTGACGCCACCTGGCTGGCTCTCCTCTCCCTCCGGGTGGGGTGCGGGGTCCGTGGGGGGACGTCCCTCGGGGAGGGCAGCCCCAGGCCACAGGACAGAGGATGAAGGCCTCCCCACCGCTGAGCACTGATGCCCCTCTTTTGTTCTCTGAAAGGCCCCTGCAGGCAGAGGTCTGAACACCGGGCCCCAGCAGAGAGAGGGAGGCCTCAGTGAAGAAAGAAAACCCCTGGAAATCTTGTCTGTGAGTCTCAGCCTTTGTTGCAGAAATGCGACCCCGACCTGAGCTAAATGCAGCTGCCCTGGGCTCGGGGGGGGGGGGGGGGGGGGGGGGAGCGTAGCCCCGGTCCAGCGTCTGTCCTGCACTGAACACGGCAGGTGGTGCCCAGATGGCGGGATAAGAGGAGAGATTCCAGGAGAGATGCAGGGGCGCCCGACCGGCCCACCTCCTTGCATGTGGGGCAGGAGAGGCTCAGGGGGCAAAGGGCCTCCTCTGCGCCCCCCACCCCAGGCGATGGGTGGCAGCGCTGGGGCGTGAGGTCCCAGCTCCGACCCCTCCCTCAGCGCCCTCTCTGCCGCCAGCATCACTCATCAGGGGACAGGACCGCTCTCAGCATCTTCAACCTCGGTGCACTTCACCCCGACGCAGGAGCCCGAAATTATACCCATTCTACAGATGAGGAAGTGAGGCTCCGAGGGGCCGATGACCTGCCTGAGATCCTCACTGCTCGGGGCAGGGCTGGGATTGCAGCCCAGGACCATGTAGTCCACAGGGCCCCTCCCCCTTCTACACACTCCTCAGAGGGAGCATCCAGCCCGTGACAATTAGCGTTTCCTCACATTAAAGAAGAGGAAATGTAAATTGTCAAGGGGGTGATTCTCTAATGAGATGTTCAAGGAATTTCTACCACCTTGAGCATCAGCAGAAGTGCTAATAGCTAATACTAACATCTGCCCCGTTGTGCCCGGCTCTGTTTTAAGCTTGTTTCTGGGATTCACTGTTTAAACTTTAAACAAATGTACGTGATATGACTTGATGTGACATCATTAGTCCTGTTTTACAGATGGGGAGACTTCATCAGGGAGAAGAGAAATCACCTGTCCCCACACCCTGGGTCAGGACTCTGTTTCCTGGGAAGTACGCCCAGGATGGGGATTTTGACACCTGCGCGAGGTCCCACTGTTGGACATCACTGTCCTAATTCTTCAGCCTCCTTCCCTGGGTCCTTGCCCTTTGCCATGTGACTTTGTAGTTTGTAGAATCCTCTAGAGGTGGATTCTCTTGTCTCCCTGAGGTTGGATTCGATTATGTGGTTTGCGTTGGTTGATGGGATGTGGGCAGAGGCCTGAAGGTGCCT